TTGCAAGAAATGCTTAACCACTATTGTCTTGGGCTCGTGTGGAAAAGTGGAATCGTGTTTTTATTTTAATCAATATGCCCCCATGTTGTATCTCCCTAGATATTCTGATGGGAAGATGAGGTGAGATCAAGACACAAATCAGAGATGCCTATCTAATTGGAGGTAAATGCACAAATCGAGAGGTTATTTTAATTCATTGTGTGTAGACTAGCTATTCTTCGACATAGATACCACTCGAAGTTGAGCTACCTCGATGTCAATCTTATAACCTCTCCTGGGAAGCGTTTCAGACGTTAAAAAGAAATGTTCTTCTATGGATAGCTATATTACTATGACGTTCAGGCTGAGGTACCCAAAAGAAAATCCTTTTGATTTTAGTAAAAATAAAAAAGCTTCCATTATTTCAACTAAATGAAAAGGAAAAGCAGATATGGATCTCTTTCCTAAAATACGTCAAGGAAAAACAAGATATAAAATATTGATCTGCTGTCTTTAACATGCTATAGTTACTCATAAAAAAACAAAACAAACTTACTGAAAGGAGATATAGAATGGCTTGCATAATTCCTCCCCATGTCGGTCTAAATACTTTGAGTAGATTGTATCTAGTTAAATGAAATAAATACATAGAGGCATTAAACCAAAAATCCAAGTGGATTACTCAATACTAGGATAAAGTATGACTTAAACGGGTGCGTAGGTTATGGGCAAATTGAGACGTGGAAAACAGAAGAGCTTGGGCAGCCACTACATACGATCTTCCAAGGGAGCACAAAAAGGGGATTTTTTAAAGAATAATTGTGATTAAAAGAGAAAACCTGTCAGTAAATCCCAACCTTATAATGCATTACTTAAGGTAGATTTCTGTATTTTGTATGTATTAAGTAAAAATTCTTATGAATTTGTCACACATATGGATGAGAAAATGACTTCTGAGGAAGAATGAATGATATATTTTTATATGGTATCTGGTTGCAGAGATGTTCCGAACTAAGAAGCAGTACCAACTCTGGCATACACTTAAAAGGCTCATCCAAAGACTGTGAACGGAACAATTCTGAGTACGGTATCCAAGTGAAGAAGTAAAATTACCATGAGTAGTACTTATTTTACATTTAAAATGTTGATTTCATGAATACACAAAGTGGCTTGTGGTGGCCTCTTGCCTAGCCCTACTTTGGCGAATTTGGACTTAGCTTACTGGAAGTAGTATAAATTACCCCAAAATTGTTGGGTAAATATATGTACGACGGCTTTATTATTTGTTTTCTTCGTAGGGATAGTTTATTATAATTGTTATTATTAATAAACTAAGGTTGGAATTTCGAATTCAATGCCTATTATGGAAATTTAGCTTGCGGGTATAAACATTTTCGAATGCTAGTCAGATTGGCTAAAAATTTTATGTATTAACGCTAGTTATCCAACTGACTCAGGTGAAAATAATATGTCTATAATAAGAAATACATTTTTGGACTGTGACTATTTGCTAAGAGATTAGTAGCCTGAGAACTGTTATCTCATAAAAATTTTCCCAGATTCCACTTTTTTAAATTATAGGCGAAGAGGTAAATAAATGGGAGCTAAAAACCGTTGTCAATGAAGCCATACGCTTTCTTCGTTTATGCCAATTTTTGGAAAGACATTTCACCTATCGTCTAGATTTTGCAATATTCACTAAAGGCTAGTTGAACACAGAAAGGATTTTAAGGGCTGTTAAGTTAGTAATCAGAAATGGTTGAATCCAGGGCAGAAACTGGATACCAGAAAGAATGGCTGTATTCATCTAAGCTGTAAGTCATTCTTACCAAAACTTTATGTCACAATCAAGTCAAAAAGGCTTAACGGCGCTTCCATATATGCCACGTATAGTTACAACAACAACACAAAAAAAGAAAGCAAAATATATATAAGGATTATGTAACATTACATAACTTTAACAACGGGCGGGTTGCGATTAATACGAGTTCAAATAGTGCGAAATTAAATTTAATACAAGTAGTAAATTAACACCAGACACGAAACAAAATTCATTTAGTAGTCTTCAGGATTACAAAGCAGTGGAGCAGACGCATCAGTTATCGTTTGACCGTAGCCTTTTAAAACCGTGTTTATGTTTGTCACACCATCCAGTTTTTATATGCACATTAAAGCATATTTAAATAAGTATAAAATCTCCTAGTAAATATGGATAAATGGAAGAATGCTAAGGTGAAAACAGAAGCGATAGGTGATTAAATTCAAACAAAAATTTGATGTCATAGAAACAAGCAGATGTGATGATAGCCATTAAAAAGTACCAGAGATATTGGATTGCATGAATCAATGGTATGAAATACTTAAAAGACATAGATGAAATAAAGGAAAAAGTAAATATATGTAAGAATACAGGTACTATAATGATATGCCAATATAAGTTGGGTTTCGAGGAATCTCTTGTTTCCTTATTGTTGAACTTACTTCCATTTCGATCTAACCAGGAGACGATGAAGGATTTCTTTTTATCAGCTATCGATTAGCTTTACTAGAACATTCCTAGTGACTCTGTTTCCGAAGCAATCTCCTCCGATTCCGATGAAGACGTGCCAAGCTTTTCTCCGTCATATGACGGACATCATCAGAGCAGGGTATCAACCTTACAACTATATTTAAGCTAATGGGTCAAGAATATGTTTGTAGGAAGGATACCTTTTCCAACAACATAGTAAATCGACAGCTGATCAAGAGATATCTGCGGCCGTCTTCTGGTGAGATCAACCTTCGAATCTCTTCACTAAACTCTTTCACTCGAAATGGATGCAAACTAAATTATTACAATGATAGACTTGTAATATCTTCATCAATATAATGAAATCTTTATTGCAAACCATGGACCGAAGAAAAATCGTAAAATGTCAAGTGCACTAGTTAAGAAGAACTTTTGCGTAGATATTTACTAAATCAAAAGGTTATAGTGATTTTTATAGTGTATATCTTTGCATAGAATATATTTTTGGCTTTTAGTACATTTTCAATATCCTTGTTTGTTATATAAATTTATAAAACGAAAAAAAATTTAGTATAATAAAATGTTTATTAAGTTTTTTCAATGGAATGGAACCAATTATGTGACTACAAATTATAATATCTTTGAACAGTACCACATTTTAATGCGACGAATTACTCCTAATAATCGCGACCTGTCTAATTACCGCTTGTTTTGTTGTTGCTATGACCCCACATCATGTATACAGTTTTATAGACTTTACGTTTGTTTTTAGGAGTAAGCTTTGGCTCAACCCCTTTTTCGGCTGAGTCAACTAAGACTATTTCATAGGCTGCGCCAATCTGTGTGTCATAGCAATATCATAGGACTGCCGAACAACAGTAAAATAGACCCACGAATGTCTCCACCAGAAACTTTAACATTAAGTAAATTTATGGCAATATTTTAAGGGAAAAAATGAAAGGCACAACAGTACAGACAGGCTTCTATGCCAAGACTCCGTTGGCATGACGATGATGCGTAGGAGGAGCTCGCTTGGAACTAAGCTTATAACAGTCTGGCTAGCTCAGCCCATAGTTCTACTGAATCTATGACGGAAAAGATGGTGTGGTAAGTATTTTGGTTACAGCCTTATTTCAGTGCAGATAAGTGATTTTACTTGTTTTGAAAATTGTTTATGCTATCAAAGGGACCTCGATCAAAGTATCTTATACGGAGTCTTTTGCTATAATATTCATAATACCTAGCATCATATCGTGGACTTGGCACATTCCCAGACGTTTCGCTTGCATTGTAGTTGGCACTCTTATCACCAAACTACAATGTGTAAAATAAAAAAAGGTTAGGCTCATCACTGGTTACTTTGATGAGCTGCAGCATGACACTAGGCATGACAAAGCCCTGCGATGATGCCGAATAGTAAGCAGGCAAAGCTTATGTTAAATTATCACGTATAGTATGGAAGCGGATTTTGGAAAAGTTATGTTTTTTCGAGGTCGGCCTGACAATAGAATCAAGTTGCGGAAGCAAGGTTAAATCAATTTAATTCCATCCCGGTTAAATAGATACAAAGGCTTAAAAATTAAGTCAGAAACAAAGTCAAATTGATTACGAGACCTTGAAATAAATGAATTTCATTTTGGAGTACAATCATCAAGTAGAGGACAATGGATGACTTATGAGTAGAACGCGATATTCCAACTAAGTAGTATAAGTGAGGGATTCGGACGATCGGTCATCTTGGCCAGATAGTCAGAAGAATCCGCCACATATACCGTTTGCTCAACAAGAGCATTCATAGTCCCCAATGTAACAAAACTTCCTGACATATTTCACGGCACCAATGCAAAATTGAACGACTATCGCCAAGTTCATTCGCTGTCTAACTAATTCGGCATGCATGTTAGCCCAGGCTTGTGGTTTCGCTTTTGTGTCCGTACAATTTGACTCATTGGGAAACCTCAAAGTATGCGCCAATAACACTGAGCCGGCATGTGTGCTTAGGTGAGTGTATATGCACATTTGTATATGCGTCTCTGCATGCATATGTATGTGCGTGGGCGTGTGCATGTATGTATCCATGTCTTGTTAGGCAAATAAAGCTCAAGTGAGGCCTGGTACTATGCCGAGACACGAGGAGAAGTGTAACCGTGTAGCGAGATTGTCGTGAGTACAAACTTACGTAGCCTAGGTTGTTGGGCTGTCGTACCGCAAAGACAGACATCCAAATAAATCATGCAGATTATCTGGCGAGCACTCGGACTCTATATTAAATGGTACGAACGTATGTGAACATGAATGCAAATCATTCGGTGTAGCACACTCGGCAGACAAGCATGACCCATTGCTTGTGCGTCTGATCACAGGCTCTTTTAGTAGCTCCTGAATGCATGTTATCGGGCTCAACGCCACTCAGGGTAGCCTGAATCGCATGTGCTTGTGCTTCGTGTAGATCCCTCAGAAACAGTGTTGCTTAACGAGCCTCTCAAGCACAACCGCATCTGCCTTTCTAAGCATGACAGAGGCCAGATATGCATCCATGCCAGCGGTGCCGGATTCGAGTCCTTTGAGAATCCTGTCCGCCTCTTTCGCCTATCCAATCACCTTCACCTCCACCTCTCCGTCTGGTTCGCCTAATCTGGTTCTCCGGGTTGAAGATGCGACCTCCTCGGCCGAGGTTTCTGTTTTTGCAAAACCCGACGTCCCATGTTCCCCCGCAGTGTTGAGAGTGCTTTTAGTCTTTGAACTGATGCTGGGAGTCCTTATCTCCGTCTGCATGTCAGGCCTGTTGCCCATCGGAACTTGGCTGTCTTGGCCACCAGAGGCCTACTTCAGGCCAGTGATTACTCCTAAAGAGGAGAAAGAAATGTTCAACCTTCTACTGAATTTCATCGAGCTGGTTGAAGCCGCCCAACTCCCGTATCTGGCAACTGGAGGCACAAAAATCGGTCTTCTACGACACCACAGCATAGTGCCTTGGGACGATGATATTGGTAGGTTGTAAACACATCTTTACATTGCAAACAGGTTCCAGTCATCCCAGGTCACATAAAAGGAGGAAAAAAAGCAAATGCAAATTTTCAGTGAATTTCCTCAGTTTCGCTTCTCAAAAAGTGTTATCATCCAGAGTGGACTGCAATTTCGACCTAGACTGCGTTTCATCAGCAACCTCAGTGCAAATCGAACCTGCAGTTAGGGCAACGTTTACTTCCGACATGTCACCGCCACGCCAGACTGCCACGAGTGCTTCTAAGGCGAAAGTGCAGGCCACTCTGAAATTAGAAAATACATTTTAAGAAATGAAATTCAACAGAAACCTAAGGCCTATTCATATCATTTTAGGGAAATTTAACTATCAATCTTTTATCATATTATGCTACTGAGGGCTACTGGAACTCTAATGTAAGCTTTATTGATAACCTCAAAAGCTTTTTTTATCTTGCTGCAGCTTTACATTTTTCTTATTTAACTAGAGTTTTGAGACTACCAGTAAATCAGTAATATGAGATGTATTCACCTAATTTCGTTTAAGGTAATGAAGGACTGGTACTAGAATTTTCTTACAACGATATGAGTAGAGCTGACGTTTCCATTGAATTTCACGTAGCCTTGCTTTCCCAAAAAGCCTGGCATTCCTTGAAATTCACACACTCCTGGATGAAGACATATTTTGAGAAAGCAATGCCATGCGAAATTCAATAAAAACTTTAGCTCTACTCATGGTATTGTGGGAAAATTATACTACCAGTCCTTTATTACCTTAAACGAAATAGGATGAATACATCTCATATTACATCTTTACATTTTTCTTCCTTTCATTTATATCGGCCTGTGTGCAGGTGGAAAATGTATATATATATATATTTATTTATTTACGAGGAGAGATAGACCAGTTACTCAAATGAATATGGGCAAACTCAATACTCGGTCTCTAGATCGCCTTAAGTGAACTAAGGCTATTAAATAATTATTCCAGAATACTCATTTTGAGTAGGTTTCGAAGCCGCCAGTAAATCTTGAATAAGGACTTTATTCACTCTAGGTCCCATAGAGTGCTGGAGGACTGACGGATGCATTTTCCAACAATGATATGAGTAAGCCTCACGATGCCA